CGTCGGGCGGCGCGTGCCGGGACGCGCGTGTGTGAGCGGGGCCGCGTCCACGCGGGTGCGCGCAGGGGCGCGGGCACGCATGCCGTGGACGTGCGGGTGCATGGGGTGCGTGTGCATGTGGGTGCGTGTCCCCACGCCGGCCGTGCCCCCCCAGCCCCTGACCCCGGCGCTGTCGGGGCGGCCCCCCCAGCAGTCCCCGCGGCCGCCGCGCATCACCTGAAACCGCCGCGGTGTCGGGTTCGCGCCGGCGGCGCCGGGCCCCGCCGGGGGGTCACGGCCGGCCCGGGCTGGAGGCGATGCCCCCCGGGAAGGGGGACACGGGGGGATACCGGCTGGCATCACCGGAGTGAGCGGAGCGGAGGCACGCGACAGCCCTCCGGCCCTGACCGTGCCTCAGTTTCCCCTGTGTGCCCCCGGGATGCTCTGCGCTAAGGCAGGAGGTCAGGGGGGACACCACATCCATTGCCACTCGCAACCTCGCCGGGGGTCGCGCCCCCGGACCCTCTCGCGGGGGACACCCACGGGACTGCCACCCCCCCGCCAGCTGCGAGGCCAGCCCCGGCCGCTCTCGATTGACAGCTCCCGCGCCCGATGGCCTCTCCGGTCCCACAGGGAAAGCCAATCCCCGCGGCCGGGGGGGCAGGAGGCGGTGCTGCCCCCCGGCCTCGCCTTCCCCCCCGCGCTGCTGCCAGGTGTCTCTTTCGCAGGTGGCACCATGGGGACAGGTGAGGAGGGCACGGGGCGGGGGGAGGGAGGCACGGCGGTAGGGGGTCCCCTGCGCCCCTTCGGGGAGGGGGCACCCGCGTCTGAAGCTGGCGGGGGATAATGGGTGGGCGCTGTGGGGGGCTGGCAGCGCCGGGGATACCGGCGTGTCCCCGGAGCCGGGGCCATCACTTATTTATTGAGGTCAGGCTGGGGCGAGCGGCGAACGAAGTGGGGGGGGGCACCGTGGTGGCGTTTCACCCACGCCTGGAAAATCCCCGCGGGAACTGCCTTGGAGACTGGTGCACCCATCTCCAGCCGCACGGCGTTGGGAATTCAGAGGGGCTCCAGGGAGGATGGGAAATGGCCAGAGGGATCAGGTCCTGCTCTCTAGCATAAAGCTGATGTCCCCGTGTCCCCTCTCTGGAGCCTTTCCGGATTTGTGCTGTCAAGTAAAGCCCCTTTGCATCCCCTGTTCCAGATTTACACTGTGAGGGAGAGCTCCTTTTCACCCCAGCATCTTTACCCCAGGGCAGGGCAGCCTGTGCCCACACCCCCATGCTATGTGACAGTTTGATCCTTGGGACGGTATAGGACGGGAAGGGATCAGGCTGGAGAGGGGGTCACAAAGCTCCTCGTCCCTCCAGGCTGTGCTGCTGCGCCTGGGACCTCTCTTACAAGCGGCAAGTACCCAGGCCAGCTGCCCCCAGCATTGCGCTGCTAAAAAAGAGCGGTGCCCAAGCCCGGGCATGTGCTTCTGGACTATGCCATGTCCCCCGCTGGCTGACGGGCAGCCCTGGCCCTGTGAGGACGCAGCCAGCCCTGAGCCAGACGCCAGGACGCCGGCGTGCCCAGCGCCACCATGGCCCAGGACTGGGACGCAGTGCTGTCGGGGATGACGACAGGCAGCCGGTCACGGAGCTCCAGCAGCGAAGCCAGCCTGGCTCCCCGCTACCTCCTCAGCAAGCAGAGCCGCCTGCTCAACGGGACCACCCGGAGCAGCCGTGCCGCCTCCCCCATGGGCCGTGTCATCCTCATCAATGCCCCCATCGAAGGTGCGTGGGGTGTCCCGGCCCCCTGCCCACCCCCATGGCCAGGACACCCCCAATGGCTGCATTCCCTGGGTCTAGGGGTGGGGAGGGCTGGCCTGGGCCTGGGGATGTTCCCAGTGAGAGAGAGACCCCTTGCCATTGCACTCATGCTCCCCTGTCCCCACAGCCAGCAGCAACGAGAGTGATGTCATCAATGCCATCACAGTGGAGAAGAGCGTGGACGGCAAACTGGGCTTCAGCGTGCGTGGCGGCTCCGAGCACGGCTTGGGCATCTTTGTCAGCAAAGTGGAGGAGGGGAGCACTGCTGGTAAGAGGGTCAGGGTGAGGGGCACCAGGCACGTGCCAGCAAGACCCTCTCAAGGAGCTCCCAGTGACATGGGATCACAGCAACAATGCCACCGTTCATGGTGGGAAGCCACCGTTTGCTCCCTGCTGCCTTTGGCCATGAGATTTGCGGGCTGCCCAAAGTGAAGGGCAGGACATGGGAGTAGACAGTCCTGTGCCAAGGACTCTGAGCTCCATCCCCAGGCCACAGCAAGGTGACAAGCCACTCAGTGCAGTTGTCAGGCACCCCTGCCTCTGTTCCCAAGGGGTTCAGAGCAGGCTGAGGAGACACTGAGGGAGGGGATGTCAAACAAGGGCATCAGTAGCAGGTCAGGTGCCCAGATGAGCCGTGTGTCCCCCGCAGAGCAGGCCGGGCTGTGTGTTGGCGACAAGATCACGGAGGTGAACAGTGTGAGTCTGGAGAACATCACGATGAGCAGCGCTGTCAAGGTCCTCACCGGCAACAACCGCCTGCGCATGGTGGTCCGGCGGATGGGCCGTGTGCCAGGAATCAAGTTCTCCAAGGAGAAGACGGCGTGGTGAGCAGGGCATCTCCCATGCCAGCACCCCAAAACCCAACCCCATGGAGGGCATGCCGGGAGAGGTTGCTGAGGGATTCTGGGAAACAGGGAGGATCCCTGGGGGACCCCCAGGGTGGAGTGGCAGCAGAAATCTCTGGCAAAGATGGGGAGAGACCAGAGTGGGATCTAGGATGGGATAGGAAGGTCTGGAGCAGGTAGGGTGGGTGCAAGCCCCATCCTAAACATCCCCCATCACTCTCCTCTACTGGGTGCCACCAATGGTCCCATGCCGGAGGAGGACAAGAGCCAAATCCCTGAGACTGCCTACCCTGTGCCGTACCCCAGGGTGGATGTGGTGAACAGGCGCCTGGTGGTAGAGAAAAGCGGCTCGACGCCATCGGAGAGCGGCTCCGAGGACGGGCTGCGGCGCATCGTCCACCTCTACACCACCTCTGATGACTACTGCCTGGGCTTCAACATCCGCGGCGGCAGGGAGTTCGGCCTCGGCATCTACGTCTCCAAGTACGGCTGCCCTGGGGCGTGACGGGGTTGTGACACCCCTGACTCTGCTGTGCCCATGCTGAGCCCCCCACTCTCAGAAGACACTGGGCATCACCACCATGGGTGCTGAGCCGTGGGGCTACTCAAGTGGAGGTGTGGGGCAGGAGCAGGACTCCTGCAAGGGCTTGGCCCCATCCTGCCCCCCTGTTTCCCCAGGGTGGACCCCGGAGGGCTGGCGGAGCAAAATGGTATTCGGGTGGGAGACCAAGTCCTTGCAGCCAATGGAGTCAAGTTTGAAGACATAAGCCATAGCAAGGCAGTGGAGGTGCTCAAGGGGCAGACCCACATCATGCTCACGATCAAGGTACCCACACCCTGCCCCACGGACCCTGGGGTGAGGCAGGGCTTGGCATGTCCCTTCACTGGCACTGCCCCTGCTCAGCCCAGTGCTGGGGGCTGGTGCAGCTGCTGCCTGGTTGGGTTTCAGGCGGGTGGGAGGGGGAGGATGCATTATTCATGGCTGGCACCAGATCAAGTTCTCCAGGGCAGCCAGCACTCACTGACCCCCTTGTCCTCTCCCCCTGTGCCTAGGAGACAGGCCGGTTCCCTGCCTACAAGGAGTTGGTGGCCGAGTACTGCTGGCTCAGTCGCTGTAAGGGCAGTGCCGTGCGGGTACTGGCAGGGGTGCTGGGCTGGGGCACGGCGGGGCTGGGCCTCCCATGTGTGTGATGTCTGACACTGTAGGGAGGGAGAAGGTCTGCATGCCATGGGGTCCCAAGGCCTTGGGGGGAGCGGGGAGCTCCCTGTGCCACTGTTAGCATACCCACTGGCCTGATGGACTTGCAAGGTCCCAGCTGTCCCCCGTCCCTGGAGGAGGCGTGAAGAGCCCCCTGCCATGGCCAGCAGCCCCTTGTGGTCCCTATGATCCCACAGCATCCTACATGTCCACTTTCTTGGAGAGGACATAATGATCCCTATGCAATGGCCAGTAGTCCACAGGTCCCCATGGCCCTGTGGGTTCCCCATGTCTGCTGTTTTTGGGAGGGACATGGAGCTCTAGGTGGCCCACAGTGTGTGACAGTGTGTCCCTGCTGTGCCTTTGCAGTGACTGACGGGCAGCTGCAACAGCTGGCTCAGACCTCGGAAACCAGCTCCTCCATCTCCTCCTACTCCTCAGGACCAGCACCAGGGGCGGTGAATGGGCTGGGGGCAGCTGCCCCAGTGTCCCCAGCCCGGATGATCCCTATGCAATGGCCAGTAGTGCACAGGTCCCCATGGCCCTGCGGGTTCCCCACATGCCTGCTGTTTTTGGGAGGGACATGGAGCTCTAGGTGGCCCACAGTGTGTGACAGTGTGTCCCTGCTGTGCCTTTGCAGTGACTGACGGGCAGCTGCAACAGCTGGCTCAGACCTCGGAAACCAGCTCCTCCATCTCCTCCTACTCCTCAGGACCAGCACCAGGGGCGGTGAATGGGCTGGGGGCAGCTGCCCCAGTGTCCCCAGCCCGCACCGTGGATGTGGCCATCTCCACAGAGGACGGGCCGCGGCGGGGCTGGGTGCGGGAACGCGCCGAGCGGGCCATGCAGACCGAGCCAGCCACGGAGGGGCTGCCAGAGACGCGGCGCACAGTGCGGCCCCCCGAGCTGCTGCGGGACACGGCCATCCGGGGCCAGGGCGCCCGCGACGCCCCTGGCACCCACCCACGCCGCACCTTCAGCCACTCACCCAAGACGGCGCTTCTGCTGGCACTGAGCCGGCCACGGCAGCCCATTACACGCTCCCAGAGTGACCTCACTGTCGCCGGTAGGCACTGGGGCACAGCCCCACGCATGGGACTGAACCCTGGCTGAAGTCTCCTTCCAACCCTGCACGCCCAGCCCCGGGAGTCCCACAGCTCAGACCCTGCCCCACACGGAGAGCCTGTCCCCTACTCGGGCATCCTGTAGTCCCTGACACACACAGATACCCGGCCCCCACTCCTGGGCTTCCTATAGCGAACATCTAGGTCCCTACCCTGGACCCTATAGCCCATATAGCCCCCTGGCCACCTGTCCTGGGTATCCTATAACCCCACATAGCCCCAACTCTGTCCCTGGGCTTTGCCAGGCATCCCAAAGCCCAGCCCCATGGCCCCTGGTGATCCACTGCACCCCACAGAAGGACTCTTCTAGTCAGTGTCTCCCAGTAGCCCCTCCAATCCCGCGAAGTTCCTTGCCCCCAGACAAGATTTGGGGTGGCATCCCCTCACCTCTCCACTCCAACAGCCCCTTCTCTCTGTCCACAGAGGAGAAGCGGAAGAAGGAGAAGCCAGAGGGACAAGGGGCACGGGGGGCTACCCCAGGATTGCACCGCTCCAAGACCCTTGTCAACCTCTTTTTCAAGGGGGGCCGTGCCACCAGCCAGAGCTGGGCCCCCCCCAGCCAGGAGGCCCCGGGCTCTGAACGCCGGGCACGCTCCAAGTCCCCTGGGCGCTCTGACGGGGACAGAGGTATCAGCCTGGGTGACAGGGCAGAAAGGGACTCAACCTGGGACTGTTCCCCCTTCCATGGGCCTGTTGTGGCATCCCTGGCATGAAGGGAGCATAGGGAGGGGTTCCCCAAGCGCGCAGTTCTGACAGTGGGCGGTGATGCTGCTGTCTGCCCTGGGCACTCACCGCTCTCCATCTCCCTTGCAGTAGGCGCTGTGCAGAAGTTTGTCATCCGGAGCCTGAGGCGGGGTAACGGGGGTGCCCGTGTGCCTGGGGGGTGTGGGCAGGCTCTGCATGCGCCTGGCCCCGCGCTGCTTGTGTCTGTCCCTCTCTGCTGTGGAGTGAGCTGCTGGGGTGGGGGGCATGGGGAACTCTCTGGGCTGGCTGGGGCAGTCCTTGCCCCGCTGGCCACCCCTCCTTGTGCCTCCCCAGAGAAAAGCCGGCGTGCCAGCATCCTGGGCCCCATGGGCATCGCCACCCTGCAGCCCAACGGCAGCGACCCTGAGGCCCGGCTCCCGCACATCCAGGACACTGCTGCACGTCTCCTCAGCCCCGACGAGGTGACGGCCGTGCTCCGCCACTGCTCCCGGGTACGCACCGAAGGCAGGGCATGGCAGGGCACGGGCAGGGTGGCACTGCCACCCTGGGCTCGTCTCTGGAAAGCTCCTGCATCCCAGGGGCACGGTGAGCACTCTGTGCCCATGCTTAACTCTGGGAGGTAAACCAAGGAACGGGTGAGGGGCCATCCACTGATCGCCCTCGTGTGCCCGCAGTACCTGCACGAGGGCAGCGTGGAGGATTTGGTGCGGCCGCTGCTGGCCATCCTGGACCGGCCCGAGAAGGTCCTGCTGCTACGGGACGTGAGGCGAGTGCTGCTAGGAAATATCTGGGAACCCCAGCTTTGCCTGATGTGATTGAAGTGGAGCCTCACTCATGCTCCTCAGCCCTGATCACACTCCACCCCGGAGGCTGCTAGAACCTGTCCCCACCTTTTTGCCTTGGCAGGAGCGTGGTGGCCCCCACAGACCTGGGCAGGTTTGATAGCATGGTGATGCCACTGGAGCTGGAAGCTTTTGATGCCCTAAAGAGCCGTTCAGGTAGATCCCAGCCCCCAGGGACCTTGACTGGGGGCAGGCAGTGGTCAAGGGTGGGTGCAGCTCAGGAGGTGACTGGGGGTTCTCCCTGACTGCAGTGCGCTCACCTGCCCTCCGCCCGGCCCACCATGACGCCCCCCCCAAGAGACACCTCATCACACCAGTGCCTGGTAAGTGCCACCTGCAGGGTCTGCCTGGACACCGGGCTGCACAGTGGGGACAGCGTGGAGGGAGTTTGGGGGAAGAGAAAGGGGACTGGGATGGATACCTGAGTGCAGGGGCTCCAAGGGAAGAAGGCATCTGGCACCCCTGGGTGTTGGGAAGACTGGGGGCAGCACAATCTGTGAATCTTGGGTGCTGGGGTTCTTGGGGAGGAGGACATGGAGTGCTTGCAGACAACTGGGGTGTCTAGGGGTCTCTAGATGAGGAAGATCTGGGGCCCTAGGTGGCAAAGGATCCAGGGCTTTGGGGTACTCATGGGAGGCTTGCATGACAGGGATCCCAGGGGGGAGGGCTGTGGGTCCCCGGGGAGATCCCTGAGCCCCTCTCATTGCAGACTATCGGGGCGGATTCCTGCTGAAGCCAGCAGGGACCCCAGAGCCAGAGGAAGCGGGGGAGCAGCAGGCGAGCCCAGCCCGTCCAAGAGCCTCCCCCAGCCCCCGCCGGCCTCACCCCCGCGCCTACACCCCACTCCCTGACGTGCCAGTGGATGCCTATGCCTCCGCCAGCCGGCCCCCGCCCACCCTTGGCCCTCAGTCCCCGAACTGGCTGCTGGCTGAGCCCTCCCCTGGCAAGGGCCATGGGCACTCGCGCAGCCCCCGGGCCACCTGGCGCAAGGAACCCCCCAGGACAGCGCCCAGCAGAGAAGCTCCAGTGCTGGGGAAGCCCCAGCGGGCACGGCCTCCTCTTGCCCCTCTCTTTGGGGGGCCAGGGGGTGAGGCAAGGGCCGGGGCAGCCAATGGCCCTGAAGATGCTGGCAGGGAGGAAGAGGAGGAGGAAGAGTATCATCTGCTCACCGTCACCCTCTCCAAGCTGAAGCACTCGCTGGGTGGGTGGCACATGGGTGGGTGGGACTCCAAGGGTGGGGGGAGGACCCTTCTGGCACCAGCATCAGTGGGACGGGTGGCACCCTCTTGGCAAGGGGCAAACCCCAGAGCATTCTTCCAAAATGAGAACTGGGGGGAAGAGCTGTCCCTGCCCCAGTCCCTCATCTCTGTAGGACTTACCAAAACAGGGCAAGAGGTGTAGCTCACCAGGGAAAGGGGGAAAGGTGGTGCCATGCTTGGGAGTGGGTGGGGACCCAGCCTACCCAGGTGTGAGGGTCTTATGGCTCCCTTGCAGGGATCAGCATCTCTGGTGGTATTGAGTCAAGAGCACAGCCAGTAGTGAAGATTGAGAAGATCTTCCCTGGTGGAGCTGCCTTCCTCAGTGGCATCCTCAAGGTAGGGGGGTCCCAGCACATGCCAGGGGGTGGGCAGAGATCCAGGCACTCCCATCCCCTGGTGCCACTGGGTTGCTGGCAGACCTCTAGCAGTCCAAAAGCAGCTGCACTTCACCCTGTGGCCTTCCCTTCTGGGCCCCAGGCCGGGCAGGAGCTGGTGTCGGTGGACGGGGAGAGCCTGCAGAACGTCACGCACCAGAGGGCTGTGGACATCATCCGCCAGGCCTACCGCAACAAGGCCAAGGAGCCCATGGAGCTGGTGGTGCGGGTGCCTGGACCGCCGCCGGAGTGATGCTGCAGCCCTTTTCCAGGAGCCGTGCTGTGTTCCAGAGGAGCCAGATGGCTCATTGCTGCACTGAGCTGTGGCTGGTCTCAGTGCAGCCAGAGGGTGAGAGCCAGACCTGCCCCCAGGGCATGGAGCCCACTGCAGGACCCAAGGGAGGGCAGCACTGGCATCACAGGGGAAGGACAGGGGGTCCCTGACCCTGCTCTGGACATGCAGACAGAGTCCTGAAAAAAACACAGCCAGGGGCTTGTTTTTAATTGCTGTTTCCGGGTGGTACACTGATGAGCCAGGCTCTGGGAAGGAGACGTGACTGAAATAAAGTACAAAAATCCCCCCCTGGAGCCAGGGGTGACCAAGCCACAGCTGGGCACATCCAGACTTTTCCTTTGGTTTGACCCCCACCTCCCCGGGTGCCCAGAGGGGCCCCTCACCTCTGTCCATCCCCAGGGGTGTCCCCAGGGTGTCCCCAGCTGGCTCAAGGAGCACCACACCCCTCTCCCCTGGCAGGCTGGGCATCACAGAGGCATGGGCTTTTCTGGGGGGGAAACAGAGGGATGCTGGGGGGGCAAGAGCATGGGAAAGGCACTGAGGGCAAGCTGCCCCGTGGCAGGGGTGAGGGGGCACGGACTGGTGAAGTGTGCGCTGGGAGAGGGTGATATGTTTTGGTAGGTCCTATAAAAATAGAGTTATTTAAAATGGCACAGAAACAAATTCCCTGACAAACACACAAAGGGGCATGAGGGAGGCTGGCATGGGCAGAGACAGGGCACACGCCAAGTGACTGGGTGACAGTGCCAGCAGGGATGAGAGGGAGGGGGGACAAGTCAGCCCTCCCTCTGCCCAAGGTGACCCTGGCTGAAGCCAGTGCTGCTAATCCCCAGGAGCTAAGAGGATCAGCAGAAACCAGTTCCGGGCGGCCCCAAGGCCAGGACTCGGCACCCACCTGACCCCACATCTCAGGGGCAGCCCTCACTGTGGGCACCAATACATCCTTGCCCCAAGACCTCAGCGCTGGGGAGGGACAGCGCCTGTGGTCTCCCCTGCCCCTTCACAGTGGCTGCAGTTTGCAGAGCTGGGGGAGAGCAGGGGCCCCCACAGCTCCCAAAATCAATCACAGGAGCCTCCAGGCCCCTTCAGCCCTCCACGCTTGGGGCAAGGGCAGGCAGTATCTCAGATCTCGGTGGCTGTTATCTCCTCAAAGGGCGGGTCAGGTGGGTCACAGGGCTCGGGCAGGGGGTCCTCGCCCTGAAGCCGGAGGTGCTGGAGCCGCTGCTCGAGCCGCCGGTTGCGCCGGTACATCTGGATGTAGCTGTACTGCAGCTGCTTCTGGTAGCGGATGACGCGCTCCTTCTCGCCCTGCCACGTGCCGCGTTCCTGCTCGAAGGCATCGCGCTGCTCCTGCCCTCGCCGCCGCTCCAGGGCCACCTCCGCCCGCAGCCGCTCCAGCTGCCGCCGCAGCCCCACGCTGCCCCGGGGCTCCTCGCTGCCTGGGGGGCATCCTTCAGCGGGCGGGGGGCAGCCTTCCCCACTGCCTGGTGGGCATCGCCCGCGGGCAGCTTCCCGCAGCCCCGCCACCTCCTGCTCCAGCCGGCCGGCTTTGGCGCGGAAGAGGTCGGCCTCGCTCTTGCGGCGCTGCAGTTCGTTGGCACAGACCTCCAGCTCCAGCGCCTTGAGGCGGGCGGCCTCCTGCAGCCCCTGCGCCCGCCGCTCGCCCGCCTGCAGCTGCGCCCGTGCCTCCCGCAGCTGAGCCCGCAGCCCCAGCAGCTCGGCGCCCCGCTGCGCCAGCTCCGCCTGCGCCTCTTTCAGCTGCTGCTTCAGCAGAGAGATCTCCCCCGACTTCTGGCACACCTGTGGGGATGATGGGGTTCAGGGGCCGGCCAGGACCCCCCAGCCTGTGCCCCCAGACATCCTGGTGCTGCTGGGTGACTCACCTCCCATTTGGTCTCCTCCAGCCGGGGTGCCAGCTCAGTGCGCTCCCGCTGGAAGGAGGCACAGCGACGCTCCAGCAGCTCATGCTCCTGCAGCAGCTGGGTCAAGTCCTCCTGCAGCTGCTTCTTCTCCTGCTGCAACTGCAGCACCTGGAGCTGCAGGACCTGCTGCCCCCGATGTGCTGCGTGGGCCGCCTGCCGCGCCTGGGCCGCACAGCGCTGCCGCAGCCCCTCCAGCTCCTGCTCACAGCGACGCTGCTTCTCCTCAAACACCTGGGCCAGGGGATGCACAGGTGCTGGGAGGGCAGCACAGCACCCTCCCACTTCACCTGCCATCTCCAAAATTGGCATCACAGGGAAGGGGCAGCACATCTCCCCCAAACAGAGAAAGGTTTGAGGAAGAGTGCGATGTGGTGGTACACACCTCCTTGTGCTCCCCTATCCTTCTGCAAGATGGGCCTCCATGTTAGCACCCCCAGAGCCTATAGGGCTCCTCCAGCTCCATCACAAGCAGGGAGAAGCCACAGGTCCCAGGTTCATTCAAAAAAGGGCACCCCAAGATAAGGCACCCCAGCCTGTACAACTGGTCTCGTGGGCCATAGAAGGCTCCCCCATGGACTACACAGGACCACCCAACTGGTGGGAAAAACCAGACCCACAGGAAAATGTATACCTCTGCAAGGGTCTGTAATGGTCCTCAAAGCGGGTCCCTACTCCCAACCAGGGGTTATGTTGACACCTGTCTCCACAGAGGGGGACAGCCACAGGACATAAGGACACCAGGGACATACCTGGCAGATGGCCACCTCGTTCTCATCCAGGCTGTCACGCAGGAGCCGCAGCTCGGCCTCCCTCTCCCGCAGCTTGTCCTCCAGCTCCCGCACCAGCATGGCCTCCTCGCCAGGCAGCGGCGAGCGCCCGCAGGAGCCACTCTCCGAGGAGGGCCGGCCCCGGCCACTGAGCGAGCCCGTGCTCTTGCTGGAGGATGAGCGCCCGCTGTCCGAGTTGGAGGGGCGGCAGCCCCCCGGAGGGTCGAGGGGGCCGTGAGGGGTGCTCGGCAGGGCACCCACCTCTGGGTGCTGGCTGCAGCCCGTGCTGTAAGTGGGCAGGCTGGAGAGGGAGTTGCGCCCCGAGTCCGAGAGGGTGCTGGCACGGCAGCTCAGAGAGCCAGGCTTCTCAGCACCCAGCAAGTGGGTGAGGCTCACCTGGCTCTCTGAGAGCCCCAGGCGTGTGCCTGGCTGGGCATTCCGAAGCTTGGATACCACTGGCTTGAAGGCCATGGGGCGGATCAGGGTCTTCTCCACATTCTGCCAGGAAAAGAGGGAAGAGTGAGGGGATGGGGAGGATCCATTAGTCCCAAGAAGGGCTGCCTAGGAACGTTACAGTGGGTGCCCCCAGCCCTGATGCCTTCACACCCTAAAGGAGACAGAGGCCAGTCTGTCATGGGTGTCCAGGTGAGCTCCCCAGACACCCTTGGCATGGTGGAGGGGACATTAAGAGCATAGGGATTGCCACTTCCCCAGGGACACCAGAAGTGTGGCCATGTGATCCCATTTCACACATCTGAGCCAACAGTCCCTGTGTGGCACAGGGCAGAAAGTCAAGACTGCAGCACACACCCACCCACCCTGCTGCTGCCCCCCTCACCTCTTCCAGCTTGCCAGAGACAGGTACAAGCTTGGGGGGCGGGCCCTGAAGGTGATCACTTGGTGCTTGGTCATCACGGAGATCATCTGAGTCACTACAGGGGCTGGCAGGAGAGGAGGCATCAAGCCAGTCGCCACAGAAGCCCCCATTGGCGTAGGAGTGGGTGACACCGGGCACAGACGCACGGGGCTCCTCGGGAGTGGCTCGGAGTAGCCCCTCCTGCTTGCAGAAGGAGGCGGTGGAGGGGTCCCCATCACCGGCACAGTCGTGGCGGGGCCGGACGGGCAGGAGGCTGCCCACGCTGCCCATGGCGGCAGGCGGTGAGCGGGCGGTGGCGCGGAGCTGCGCGGCCCCCTCGGCAACGGCGTCAAGGGGCACTGGCAGCGTCTGCACGATGGCCATGGCGGGGGGGCCCCCGGCGGGCAGGGGCACGAGGGCAGCCTGCAGGCGAGGGAGACAGGGCATCAGAGCCACGGGCACTGACAACAGTGCCCACCACCCAGCCAGGTGGGCATGGGAGCATCCCCAGGTCCCCAGTCACCATCCCCAATCTTATAAGTGAAGGTTGACCCAAGAGCAGGAGATGCCAAATGAATCAGAACAAAACCAGGATTAGCTGGGGGGAGTGGTACCAGCAAACCCCAAGTTGGCCTCAGCAGCCCAGCGGAGCAGCCTGGGGCTGCCAGGGGCTCTGGGGTGCTGGTGGCACAGCAGGGCAGTGGCAATGCAGTCCTGCCTCATGCCGTGCCCTGGCGTGACCCTGCCACGGGAAGTGTGCCAGGACTGGAGGCGAATCCCGAGAGGCCTGCAGAGAGCTGGCTCAAAGGCAGCCTGCCCGCCTGTCTGCCCCACGGGCACCACGGAGGGCAGGGGACAGCCCCACACACGAGGGTCAGCCACCTCCTCTGCCCCACAGCGCCCCTCTCAGCAGCGACCCCACAGAGCCTGCTTTCCACCTCCAACCATCCACAGTGGGGCACGGGGTTCCCTGGAGAGGGCCACCACGGGAGAAGCTGCCAGGTGGGCACCAGGCTGTTTCCCAGCCCCAACACACTCAGGCTGGTTCCCGTCCCCTCCAGCTGGGGGGGCTCTGCCGTGACTCCCCCTGCCCACCCCACGCCATACGCCCGCGTGACGGGAGCCGGCCGACGGGCCGGATCCATCCCCTGCTGCCTGATCGCATCTCGCACATGGCTGCGGCTGGCACAGGGCGCGGGCGGGGGGGCGGCGCTGCCCGCACGGTCTCGCCCGCCGAGCTGTCACCTGAAATCAATCCGCCTGCCAGCGCCCGGGGAGGGGCGAGCAGGGCAGAGATGCCGGCGAGCCAAACCCCCCCCTGCCACTGCCACCGTCACCCCCAACGGCACGTGCCATCCCCAGCACCCTGACCTCACGCCGTGCTCGTGGCACCCTTGGGTGGGCAGGGGGGTGACCCCCCCCACCAACAGCTCTGCTCACCTCGCCAGCCGCTGCCCATCCGTCCGGTCCTCTCGAGCCCCCGCACCGTG